TAAATATAGTTTCCATGACTTAATGCAGAAGTCATGTTTTATTATAAAAATTTAAACTATTTTCTGACCTTTCTTACAATGTTATTTTGCTTCATTCCAACTGAAGGTCTGAAAGGAGGCCAAAGAAGATGTGATGTTCATATATGTACATGTGAATGTACATGTACATGTGGTGTGTACACACAGACAGACTCCACGAACATGGAAGTGGGTGTGTTTTAGTTAACTTTGCATCAGTGTTAGAAAATTCCTGAGACAACTTAAAGAGGGAAAGTCTTATTTTGGCTCATGGTTTCTGTCCATGGTCCTTTAGCTCCACTGTGTCTGGGCCCGTGCTGAGTCTGAATATTATGGTAGGCAGCATGTGATGGGGTAAATCTGCTTATTTCAAGCAGCTAGGAAGCACAAACAGAGCAAGAATGGGTCAGGGTCTTGGTACTCTTTCAAGAGCCTTCCCCTACTAACCTATCTTTCTCTCATGAAACTTAACGCCCTTAAGCTTCAATTACTTTGCAATTGTTCCACAGGCTGGAGACTTAACCTTCAACAAATGGGTCTTTGGAGGACAATTCTGATCATCCTGTAGTGGCAGGTAAGGGTTGGGGGTGAAAACAGAGAGCACATGCATTTTTGCTTTCCCCAACCCTACCTGAAGCAATCCTAAACTGCATTAACAAATTGAGTTTGCTAAATGTAGACAGTTGTGACAGTTTCCTCCTTTCATCTAATCTCCCTCCAACATCAAAGAAATCAATAGAGTCTTTTGGATCACTAAAATATCCCCCATCTTGTTCCAGGAAAAAAGTTAACATTTTCCAAAAATTAATGCTTTTTACCTTGATTTTGACACAAGTGACATATTTCAGAGTTAGTCCTTCTATTAGGTAAGCTTCTATTAGGTTCCAATCACACACCAAGTCTAATCTTTGCAGTAGTCCAACACATGATCTTAAATCTTCCTACTTATCCATATTAGGATAAAAAATATTGAGACTGGCAGAAGTCCAAGTTGATTCCAAATCCTTTGGGAAAACCACATGCATAGAGGAAACAGTTGGACAGAACAGAAATAAAACCATGATTCGCTTGAGTCAAATTTCTACTTAACAAAATGCATTTGAGAAACTGGCTCTGAGCTCTAGAACTCGTGACTGTGAAAATGATTCCAAAGTGTTGTAGAATGTTATTCTAAGATGGTTACATTTATTTATGCTGTGGAATATTTAATGATGTAAAAATGTGCTACATTCTTTTATTTTGTATTTGTTTAACTCTGAAGCTGTGTTCATTTGTCTGTTTAAAACACCTGATTGGTCTAATAAAGAGCTGAACAGCCAATAGCAAGGCAGGAGAAAGAATAAGTGGGGTTTGCAGGCAGAGAGAATAAATAGGAGGAGAGATCTTGGAGAGAAGATCAAAGAGAAAAGAAGGGGACAACCAGCCAGTCACACAGCCAGACACAGAATGAGAAGGAAATACAAAATATACAGAAACAGAGAAAGGTAAAAGCTCAGAGGTAAGAGGTAGATGGGATAAATTAAATTAAGAAAAGCTGGCAAGAAACAAACTAAGCTAAGGCCAGGCATTTACAAACAATAAGCCTCCCTGTGTATTTAGGAGCTGGGTAGTGGGCCCCCAAAGAGAAAAGAGTAAAAACAACCAACTACAGCAAAGAGTTGGCTCCAAGAGTCTCCACATTGATATATGCTAGGGTCTATAGGAGAGTTTCATTCATGGCGACCCAAATCATTAATAGTAACCATCAACTATTCCCTTCCTCCCTGCCATGTGGGTTTGAAGCATCTGAACAAGTGAATTAGTCAGTCCCAGCAATGGCCCATGTGTCTGTCTCTTCAGCTTGAGTGGCATGAGAACCACCAAAACCTCTAAGAGAACAGCTTGAAATGTTCTTTCCAGCAATATCATCAGTTCTTCTTCTGGTCTGGGAATTACTGTTATATTCTGAGGATTACATAGGAAATCTAGAAATCACTTATCTGAAAATCTTGGAATCAGAAGTGTGTATGTATGTATGTATGTATGTGTATGTATTTTTATTTGTATGCATATGGGGGAGCCAATTCAGCATAAAAATCATTTGAGATTCATATTTGGCTCATACTCACATTCTGAATGTAAATTTACACAATATTTTAAATAATTCTATTAGCAAAACAGCTTCATGATTGGAATTTTCCACTTGTGGCATCATGTTGGTACTGAGAAAGTTACAGATTTTGGAACATATTGGATTAGGGATAATCAACCTGTAAAGTATCGACCCAAAGTCTTCAATAAACAAGTCCAGTTTGTAATGTTCCAGCCTAGAGTCTGAAGGAAGAAAACCATTAATGAGTGGTGTCAATAATACCCTCAGAGACTGGCCCCTATCCTAGGACATAAGGGCTCTCTCCTGCCCAGGCTTACTCAACTCTGAGTCACTGTCTTTACTCCATAGTGAATATACAATTCCAGTCATTGGTTTGCTTCAAGTGATTTTTTTTTCAAATCAATTAGTAGAGTTTTAGTAATGAAGTGAGTGTCTTGAACAAAACTGAACAGCAAGTTATCATGGAGAGGGAACTAGAACCCAGTCCTCCTGGTTTTGACTTCTGGTTCTTTGCCTATGATGCCAGGCTCCTGGTCTCTTCAAGTGAGACCCAGGAACCAGGCTGATTGATTGAAGGCAGAAAAGAAGATCTTTCCTGATTCAGATTGCCATGGCTTAAATTCTGATAGTCAGACCAGAAGGCACTTCCTCCTTGTCTTAAAGTTTCTATGGCTTCAATGAAACACCAACTTTGGGAGGAAAGTGTTTATTTGGCTTATACTTCAGCATTGCTGTTCATCACTGAAGGAAGTTGGGACTGGAACTCAAACGGGGCAGAAACTGGGAGGTAAGAGCTGACTGACAGGCTATGGAGGAGTACTACTTACTGCATTGCTTCGTAAGGCTTGCTCAGCCTGCTCTTTTTTTCTTTTTTTTTTTAAGGTTTCTTAAATATTTTTTACTATTATTCACTTATTTTTCTTTATAAAAAATGTATTCTCTTATATGATATAATCCAACTGCAGTTTCCCCTCCCTCCACTCCTCCCAATTCCTGTCCCCACTTTTCCTCTTCCCCAGTTCACCCGTTCCCTTTAGAAAACAGCAGGTTGCCTAGGCATGTCAACTGAACAAGGGATAACAAGATACTATAAGACTAGGCACAGCCGGGCGGTGGTGGCGCATGCCTTTAATCCCAGCACTTGGGAGGCAGAGGCAGGCGGATCTCTGTGAGTTTGAGCCTGGGCTGGTCCAACCACCTCCAAAACAATACAGAGAAACCCTGTCTCGTAAAAAAAAAAAAAAGACTAGGCACAAACCCTCATATCAAGGCTGGGTAAGGCAAGCCAGTAGGAGGAAAAGGATTTGAAGAGAAGGCAAAAGAGTCAAAGACACCCCCTTCCACGTTTAGGAGTCCCACAAAAACACCAAGCTAACAAACAACATATGTACAGAGGAAGAACCTGGCTCAGACCCATCCAGACTCCCCGTTTGCTGCTTCAGGTTTCAAAAGCCTCTGTGAGCCCTGCTTAGTTGATTCTGTGGGTCCTGTTCTCCTGCTGTCCTCAATCTTCTGGCTCCTACAATTGCTCCTCTTCATGGTGTTTCCTGAATTCCAATTGAATGGACCTGATGGAGATCTCCAATTTAAGCTCTTTCTCCACCTAGTGTTTGGCTGTGAGTCTTGGCATCTGCTCCCATCAGCTGCCATCTCTGATGACAGGTGGGCTAGGCACCACTCTATGATTATAGCACAATACCACTAGGAATCATTTTATTGATTTTTTTTCCTCTCCTAGGTCGGTGTGCTCTTCAGTCACCACTTCCTGGTTATCCAGGCAATGTTGGGTATGCAGACTTGGGTGACTTGTGTTAGGAGGTAGGGTGTAGCATATTCTCTCTCTCTCTCTCTCTCTCTCTCTCTCTCTCTCTCTCTCTCTCTCTCTCTCTCTGTGTGTGTGTGTGTGTGTGTGTGTGTGTGTCTGTCTGTCTCTCTCTCTCTCTCTGTGTCTCTGTCTCTTTCTGTCTGTCTCTCTCCCCTTTTCCCCTTTCACTCCTTATTTCTATACTTTTTTCTCTCCCCCTTTCTTTGCCTTAGCAGCTTAGTTTTGTGCTGCAGCTCCCTCAACATCCATTCTGAAATCACATCTTTTGAGCTCCTGCTGGGTCAGGGTGGAATATCAAGTCACAAATGAGTCATATGTTCTTGACAAGGCTGTCTCCAAGCTGTTTGATTTACTCCCCAGCATCCTTCTCTGTGACAGCCTTCTCCTTCCCTCAATCCATGTTTGCCCACACTTTAATTAGGCTGACCTTCAGTGTTTTGAGCCCATCGGGCAATTTGCTGCTGGTTACTTCTACCAGCAAATCTGTTGGCCATGTGGACTGGAAACTTGTTACTCTGATTAACAATAAGCATTCACGGAACTTCTTGTAGACAGGAATTTCAGGATCCTACTGAAGACACTTAGAAGGCAAATGGGCCCAAGAAATGGTGACTGAGAGAGGGAAATTCTACTGAAATGCTGAAGAATAAAGAGAAGAAAAGTACACACATGAATAAACAATGCCAAGGTTTGTTGCCTTGTCTCTAGGGGTCACCATTAAATGTCCTCATAGGATAGACCCTTAGGCTTGGTAATAACAGGTGGCTTCCTGCTCTGTTGGAGGTTGGTGTCCTGGCAACAGAGTCAGATGCCCATACTATAGGATCAGGTAATCTCTAAGGTACATACTCAAAGAGTTCTAATATTCTGTGTCACAGAAATGCATCCATCTGACCCCTTGTCTGAGTGTTAGTTTCTCCATATGTGAAGCAGGTGGACTCTCAACAAGTGTGCAGTCTCTGTTAACACCAGGGAGTCAGACAAGGGGCTATGAAGGACAGATCTTTCCAAACAGAAGGGTTAGCTCTATGTTGGGCAGGCCCAGTAACTTCCTAGGTTTCTTACCACATGTCTGTGTGGTAGACTCCATAGGCTGCAGTTTGGTGAGTATCTGGTAAATATGCCAAATGGTGAAGAAAGGCCTGTAGGAAGGTCAAGGGAAAAATATTGTGACCCCAGATTTCTCAAGAACTTGTCCCCCATACTTTGTTTCATTTCATAGCACAACAGAGTGGCACTGAGCAGGAGGAGATAAGCAACATGCCCCAAGAGTCCAGCTATGGCCCAAACTTTTTCACAGTGGGCATTGCAGCAAAGTGATCATAAAGGCTCTCTTGACACCCCTGTTCTTAGAGAATGTTCTGGCTAAGGCTGAGCACAGAGGAGACCAATCTACTATCAGCTATGTCAAAGAAGTATTGGCCCTGGAAGCACAGCCCTGTGGCCTGAGGAGCGGGATGGAGGATTATTAGTATCTGATACATGTGCTTCAGTGTAACTAGCCTGGAAGTCAAGCTTCCTTGCAGCCCTGTAATACCTCTGGGGGTGGAGATATAAGGGTGTTTTCCATCAACACACCCATAAAAGGCCTTCTGGTGGTTGCAGTTTGCCCTTACTGAGGAGAATCAGAGAGGAACCCTCTTTTCCCATCTCTTACCCTTCTACACACACTAAACCCCACATATACCAAGACCCTGAAGAACAATGGTTAACTTGCTAAAATTCTCCTAAGGTGAGTATTCAATATGGAGACAGTCAACAGTTCTAGAACATTGATTGTTTCTGTTCACAAATATAGTGTCTCTCTCAACTTGTCAATAAACTGTCATATTCTTTTACATTAAGATTCCACAGTTATAATAGTATCTCTTCATAGGGAATGGGCTCCCAAAGTCCATTTGTGCACTAAGGATAAACACTGGCTCCAGGCCTCCCAGCTGGCACCCACATTCAGAGTACTTGGTTCAGTCCAATGCTGGCTCCCCAGCTTTACAACTAGGGTCTCCATGCTCTCACTAGGTCAGATCAACCGTTTTTGTGAGTTTTTCCAACATGGACTTGGCTCCTTTGCTCATCCCTCCTCCCTCTTCACAACTGGATTCCAGGAGTATGGCTCAGTATTTAGCTGTAGGTGCCTATTTCTGCTTTGATCAAATACTGGATAAAGGCTCTAGGAATGGCAACCAAGGTAGTCATCAATCTCATTATAGGGGAAGGACATCAAAGGAGCCCATTATCTATGGAGGGATCCTATTGCAGCCCAAATACACAGAAGAGGGCCTAGGCCCGGCCCCAAATGATGTGCCAGACTTTGGTGGCTCCCTGTGGAGGACCTCACTATCCTTGAGGAGCTGAAGGAGGTGGGTTGGGGGGGGCTCGGTTTGAAGCATGGAAGGATGGAAGGGTGAGGGAATGGGAGGACTGATATGTAAAATGAAATAGTTTCTTAAAAAATCTCATGAATTGGCTCAATTAAAGAAAAACAAAGATTCCACAGTTAAAGCTTTATCTCTGGGTTTCTTGAGTTTGTGAGCTGTTTTAAATAAGATACTTTGTGAACCATTCCTAAAGGCTGTTCAACTACAGAAGGCCATAAATGTCACTCTAAAGACCTTGTGTTGAGTGACTTTAGGTCATGTTGTTTCTTGTAACTTGCCTGTAGAATTCTTGACTTTTCTTCATAAACAACAGTATCACCAAAGAGTGGCAGTTTGGTTCTCTCCCTTTTGAGAGTCTGTTAGGGTTTTCTTAAAGGAAGCTTTCGACAAGTGGATGGCATGGGATGGTTTAGAACCACCCCTACCTGCACCTCTTGCTTTCCACCTAATTCTCCTTTCTCTACTTCTGCTTCTTGCTCATGTCTCTGCCCTGAATCCACCCACTCTGAAAGCACACCTCTGGTTCACCATTCAAATATTGTGGACAGCACCCTTGTAACAAGCTATCTTATTGGATGATTGTCTCCCTAGCTCCTGGGCCAGTCTAAATTGTGAACCTACCAGAACTAACTCCTTAGAAAGATTGTTTTCTCTGTCATAAAACATGAATATGGTAGATACCCACATCTAAACACTGAACTGAACTCCTGGAACCTAGTGACAGAGATGGAGGAGTGATGAGCAAAGGGGTCAAGACCATGATGGTGAAACCCACAAAGACAGCTGACCGGATAAGAGGGAGCTCTTGAATCCCAGACTGATGGCTGAGAAGCCAACAGGGAACTGATCTAGACTCCATGAAAGTAGTGTCAGTGAGGAGGCCTCAGAAATCTCTGGGGCCTTGGGTAGTAGATCAGTGTTTACCATGGGTGCATGAATGATCTTTGGGAGCCCATTCCAAACAGAGGGATGCTCTCTCAGCCTGGACACATGGGGAAGGGCCTAGGTCCTGATCTGGATGAAATGACAGACTTTGGAGATCCCCCTCCCCAAGGAGGGCCTCACCCTCCCTGGGGAATGATGTGGGGATGGGGTGGAGGATGGGGGGGCTGGTGAAGGGGCAAGGGAGGAGGGGTGGGAGAGGGAGCTGGGATTAACATGTGAAGCATTTATGTTTCTAATTTAAATAAAAACACATATTGAGAAAAAAACATGAATCTGGTAAAAAGTCACAGACTTGGAGGTGCCCTGGCTATGACCTGTCAATCAGGTCAGTGTGGTCACATATGCAACTAGTCTGATGTCTACACTTTAGACACTATAGAAATTTGTGATGAATGAACTCAAGTTCTTCCCACACTCTGTCTTCTGCAAGAAAATTGAAGTGTCAGAGAATGAGGCATACACAGTGCAGAGTCTCCACACCTGAAAGTGAGGGTCTTCTCACCTATCAGCACACAAATTACTATTCCATGTCAGAGGAGAAAGTATCAGAGCAGGATACTGGCTGGTATTTTTGCTCTTCCAGCTTGGAAAGTAATAATCAAAAAGCCAAAACCATAGGATTCCATCTAATGGAAACGCAGACTGCTGACGCTTGGCATTGTCAGTCCTCCATCCTTTGTCTGACATGATCCAAGGTGGACTGAGGTCCAGGGCAGTGAGAGCCCGCAGTCCTCACCTGCTAGCTGCAGGGCCTTCTTTCCCTCTTATTGATTGGTGCTTTTGCAAGAAATGCCTGCTGGGGGAACTCAATTTCTGCACCTGGAAATTGACAACTTAGTGCCACTTGCCACCAGACTCAGAGGGGGACAAAAGTACACCGTCCATTTTGAAAAAGTCCTCACTGTGATATGAACCTGACCTTTCTTACATCCTGTGGGGGGAAAAATGGGTTGCTTTGGACGAAGTGGTTCGAGTGAAAGAGACAGTCAACTTTACCTCTGAAGAGATGAAACTTCCCCTGTGCCTTGTTCAGGATGGGTCCACCTGCGATGAAAGTTAATAAGTTGCTCTTTATGGGCAGAAATGACTTCATTATAGGAGGCACCACTGGAAGTATCAATTGTGGTGCAGAATATAAACTTTTCTTGGGAAAGTGATTTTCCTTGTGATAGTGTACTATTACTTCATCGTGACCCAAAGTGTCCATTTCAATTTCACAACACTTCTTCCTTACTTTTTCAGCTGGTGCAGTAAAGAAGACAGACTTTTGTCTTTATGCCTAACTGAGAGAGTATTGGAGAACCACCTACTGTTTGCAAAATCATTGCTTAGCAAGTACCATGTTCAGCCCCACTAATATGGCTGACAGATTGCTCCAGCCCAGATTAACTGTATAGGTGGCTAATCTCTAAACATGCAGTATAGATGACACTGCTTTTAGTAATTTTGAGGAAAAGTCTCCCTGTCTTTGGGTTGACACAGAGTAAAGAAATGCCAGTGGTGTTTTCTTGTTAGGAACAGTGCCTTCTGGGGACTGAGCAGAAGTGAACTTGGCAGCAATCAATATTTCAACTCAGGATGAGACTATGTCTGATTTAATCGTGGAGGAATTATTTGATCACACTGACATCTAACAGAGAAGATCTAATCCCATTAGTAAAGTGCTTTCTGCCTGAGAGGAATGGGAAACCGAGATGAAATAGAGGCAGAGAGAAGCTCCATGCCTAATTAAGAAAAGTGGAGACAGAGCTGCAGAGCCACACCCCTTGCTCTCACCAATTGATCAGAGCTCTGCACTACAGAGACACCAATGACTTTATATGTTTTGCCTAACAAGAATTAATTTTCCAACAGATTTTAGGGAACTTTAAAATTCCACTTTACTGAGGAAAGATATACATACAACAAACTATGTCAATTTTAAGGGCACAATTTCATGGGTTTTAATATACAAGTTTCCAGGATCTTTATCATCACACACACACACACACACACACACACACACACACACACACACACACGTGTGCTCACTCTGTGGGTCACTATGTATCTTCTTGAGTACTATAATCTGGGTTTGCATTTTAGAACTTTATATAAGTAGAGTCACACAGTATGCATATTCATATCTGACTTCTTTCACTCCAAATAATATTTTTTTAGATTCATACATGTTGTATGTAGCCACCATAGTCATTCTATGATTTTGCAAATGGGTCTTTCATTGTGTCCTATTTCATGGAAGACATTATCCACTGCCTCTTTTTCCTACCCCAATACAAAATATATAATGTTATAGATGATAGTCAATGCTATAGGGAAAACAATATATTTATTTACAAGTCTCTTCGGGGGCATGGGTTCATATCCCACCGCTACCACCAGATATAGATGATAGTCAATGCTATAGGGAAAACAATATATTTATATACCAGAGAGAGAGTCGCACAAGCTAGAAGATAGAAGCGTGACTGGCTTCCAAGAGAAAAGGGAAGGGTCCTTTTCCTTTCACTTCCTTTTATATCTACCTGTGTTAATTTACTTGTCCCCGCCCTCATGGACAGATAGCTTTGTGGGGTTCACTCCTACATAATGTCATGAATGGTACAGGTGTTTTAGTCTCCTGTCCAGTGGCCCCATGCCATGACAGACAGAGAGGTTCTGTCCCTCCATGACAACTGTGGATATTGATGGCCTTTTGTCTGGCAAAGTCCTTAAGTAGCACATGCAATCATATAGAAAGAAATAGGAATTTTGTAAGGATGTGTGTGTGTGTGTGTGTGTGTGTGTGTGTGCTTGTGTGTGTGTATGATTACTGTCCTCAAAGAACTACCAGGCTTCAATCATGGGTTTCCACTTGAAGACATAATCCTAATCATTTTTCAAGTCTCCCCCACACCAGAGTAACACAGGGGAATTAACTTTACACTCTCTCAATAAAATTAGTATACAGCCTTGGAAATTAGATTTTGGTATGAGTTCACAGAAAAAAGCAACATTGAAACTATAGCAGCTACCACTCCTGTTAAGTGTGGCTTCATGGATATCTCTAATTCCCTCTCAGGTTCCAGCAAATGTGTTATAATACATCATTCACTACAGGCACCTGTGGACGTTTTCCACTCTGCAAGGTGATCTTGACCTTTCTTCTGCAAGAAATGAGCCATCTTTTCCTGTCTTTAAGCCTTGGCCTTCCTGGATTTCATACAGCATAAGAAAATATGTTATAGGCTAGGGAGTGTTCGGACAGCTCCCATTGTCCCAATCTCACACCTCTGACACCATCATTTTGGGAAGGATCATGGCTTGGTATTCTATAGGATGATGGGACATTCCAAGGACCCCAAAGAAGTCAAGCCAATATGCCCCACAGTTCATAGCATACAATTGACTCACCTTGGACACTTTACGCTAATGAATGAAGAACATCTGTGATCTTGGCAAAGACCAATAGAAAAGATACTCTAGGTAGGGGGAAAGAGGAGGGAAACTTTCAAGCAGCAATAATCAATGTATAACAGAATATCAGGCCCTGAGTACTAAGAATTTAATAATCTTTTACCACATAGAAGGATTTCAGGAAATACAGATTTCTGGCTCTGGTATTCTGATCCACTTAGAAAGAATGCTGGGCTGGGCGAGATATCCCATGCACCACAGATGCTGCCATGGGAACACTGTAGATGCTTTATAATAGTTCAGTCATCACTGCCATTTCCTTTATGACAAAACACACCAAACTCCACAGCTAGAAGTAGGTGAGGGTGTACAATGGAGAATTCAGAATGTTTGTTTACAAGCAGGAGGGTAAAGTAGTTTTGCTTCAAAATTAATTCACCTGGGGAAATGGAATGACCCGAGGTTTCTGTCAGCTTTAGTGCCTCCACTTTCTGAGCCTGGCCCTTGGCGGTGTGATGCTGCTGGTTTCTGAAGAAACTCAAGTTTAGCAAAGAATCTCTCCCTGATTTGACACAAGAGATCACTGAAACCCTAAGAGCACATTTCTACCAGTGGACCCAGGTGTTCATTAGCTCCACAGACAGATGTGTTTTCAGGGTACTTGCATTCCAGGTGAGAGTGGAGCTCTTGGTTGTGCATGGGTACTGATTTATGTCCTCAAATATTCCTTCTAGCTGGGGAAGCAGACTTCCTCAACTGAGTCCAACTGTGCTGGGAGGATGTATTATAGTAAAGACTACACTGGAAAGAGATCAAGGAAAAATTCAGTCTTCTAGGTCTGAAAGGATATTCTGGAGTAAAGTTATGAAAGTTAACATGATGATCACTGGAAAGAACTCTAGGAGGAAGAGGATAAATACTAGGGGAAAACTGTAGGCAGCTTTTTGTTTAGTGCAGCTAGAGTTTGCAGTGCTCATAAGGAAATGAACAGTCACATGGATAGAGAGGGGATAGAAACAAGTGCTTTAATTCCTTTGCTCACAAGCTTAAAATGTACCCCAAAACAGCCACCAGAGGACTGAACTGATCATAGATCAAGGAACCTGTAAGCAGCATCTCATGAAAGTAATGTGTCAGTGGATGTGTGAGCTGGTGACAGTGTCCTTGCTAGAGCTCAGGTGATGAGGAGTAGGAATTGTGCATAACTGTGGGAATAAGGATGAGTCTAGGTTTAGAACAAAGACTGTTGAGGACATGGTGACTAAAAAAGAGAGGCCAAGGCTTCAACTTTCGGGCCTGGTTTTAAAATATACTCAGTATGCGATGTCTCCTGACCATCATTGGGACCTACATTTTTATCTAATAACCACAATAGCTCCAATGTCTTTGCTTTCTTTCTTGGTATGACAAAGACAAAAAAATTAACTAAACTTGCCTTGCACATGCGAAGACCTGGGTTTCAGTCCCAGATCTGCAAAGAAATTGAAAAATAGACAAACTTTGATTTACTGTCATCTCACAAAGTATTTTTGTTTTAATAAAAGGCAAAATTACAACAAATTTAGTCAAAGACCTTAAGTAGCTACTTTTATAATTTAGTCAAAGACTTTAATTAGCTACTTTTATGCTTTTAGAGTCTAGAACCACTGTGTCACAAAGCAGAACACTTTTCCATTGGCAGAGCCAGGGAGTTTTCTTTACAGACAGGGAAGCTCTAGATGGAAACAGGAACAGAGGCTCACCACTTTCAAGTAACTTGCCTCTTAAGGTAAAAATAGACAGAGCACTGGGAAGATAATCGTGGCTTGTCAGATTCCTTCAGGTTACTTTATATAAGGATAAGAACACATGCTTCATCATCATGCTATTGAAACTGGTTTGTTTAGGAAAGTCGACATTTTGTCCTGGTTTCTCTAATGGCCAATAGATTATTCATTTTGAATCTGTTGATTTTCTGTGAATGAGATCATTATAGATTTTAGCCTGCTCCATGGGGACCCAGTGCATGGATTTGGTCAAAAATAGTATCATTTTCATAATGTCCCACATGACTTGTACACACACAGGTACTGCAATAAAAGAAGACACACCTATAAAACACGTTCCTCTGGCTACCAAAGTGGATGGTAGAATCAAAGATCACAGGTGGTTTTACCTAGAGCAGGAGTTGTCACACAAGGAACTGGACCTAATGAGCTTCATGAATTAGATGCAAAGACATGGAAACTAACTCTAATTCAGTTATAAACAGAATCCAAAGCTGGAAGAGAAAGAAAAACTCCTTAGAATGTTGTTGGCATTTGCTTTAAATTTCCCAGTATCTTTCCCACCACCTTGCACAATCACCAGAAAAGACAATAGAGGAGTGGATGGTTATAAACTTGGGGATGTGAGAACCAGAAAGGAAGTCTTTAGAATTTCTTTGCTTTAGCTACTGATAAAGCTGCTCTGAAATTTCCAAATTTTTTATAATATCCAAATACACTCATAGCTATGAAGATCTCTTTACTAATTTCCTATAGGAGAACATCTTGGTTCTCTAAGCTTGGTTCACAACCATGGTTAACCATTGAAATGTTTGTTTGTTTTGTGTATGTGTGCATATGAAAAATTTTTGGTGCCACAAATAAAATTAATGATGTGATGTTGAGTTTCCAGACTTTTCAGTGTATTTGAGGATTAGTTACAAGACCAGACAGATACCCTTTTTTCTCTTATCTCAACGTTTTCTGAAATAGTAGGGGTCATGCCATTTCCTGCAACAAGTCCCAGTAGTAGATTCAAACAGTACTTTAACTTACAGGCTACACTCTCTCTCCTTTCCAGATTCCTGAACCAGTTTAATGTAGAATTTGTCCTATTCCTAGAACAGGATATCTAGAGAACCAACAAACCCCAAATCACCCTTAAACTGGTCCACCCCACTCATGTAAAGGTGAGTTGTCATTATCCCAGAGTTCCCTTACTTGACAGTTATTCCCTGTTTGATGCCAACTGACATTCTCCGTTGACTTTTTAGTTTGTCTTCCTTTTAACTTACAGAAATCTTGCTATAAAATCAATTCTTTTTTGATGGGGCTGTGGTATCAGGCTTCTGTCTTACTTGGAGCAATTGCTGACACTATAGTCTATGTAATCCACATTGAGGACTCCATACTATCCCTTACAGTCATAGTTCCTCCATGACAAACGTGACTACCCACAGTAGCCTTGTTAACATTTGTCAACTATTTTTCTGAGTAAAAACTGGACCTGTGCCCTCTAATAGACTGTCCTTTATTTTTCAACCGATGGCCTGACTATCTGATTTTGGCTTTAATTTTTGTTGCTTGCATATTTAGTTTACATAGGTCCTCTAATGTCCAAAAAGTCTGGAAACTAAGCACAAATGTTTCCATCCATCACTGGCATGAATAATTATGTTTCCAGTCACCCAGCTGTGTTTACTCCCCCACTCTAAATTGTAGGAGGAAGTCTGATGCCGCCATTAAACATGTGACTTACTAGAGGCGCATACAGATGAGGTAATAAAAGGGCGGTTTACCACACCGCTAACCACACCCACTTTAGGCAGGACTAAAGACGTATACGGCTGGACGTAAAGACGTATACGTACGTAGGCGGAACTACGTCACTAGCCAGGCCCACTTTTGGGCATGGCTAGGGGCGTTACGGGGGAAGGCATAAAAGACCGCGCACAGGAAGTCTCGCTCTCTTTTCCTGGAGTTCGGCTTCCGGTCCAGTCGCTAGCTGAGATCTGCTGGGCTTCTCTGGGTTTGGTAACTTGTGAGCAATTTTCTACATAAAATACTTAGCGTTACTTTCAGTAATTGTGTGTCGCGTATCGTTACAGCGTCCGTTGAAGCCAACACTAAATTATTGGGACAGGCTCCCCATTCTGTCACATGTGTAATAAAAACTCTGAAACTCACAGTCTCATTTATTTGTCTGTGCCAGTGAGCATGTCCTTCTTGTCAGGTCTGGGTACCTAAGTGAGAACAAGCACTGAACATTAAAAAGAAATCACTTGTGCAATTCTGATTGATTACTTCAACATTTTATGAACTTTGGAGTTTTGGCTCAAGTCAAGTACATATGAGGCTATAGAAAACTATGTAGACTTCCCCCCACACTCAGGGCAGAGGACAGAGGTGAGCTCTGGATCCCCATCTTAGACCCTAATTCCTCCCACTTGCCCTCTCTCAGATCTCCTGACCTGGGGACTGCAGCCAGGTCAACTTGCCCCCTGGACTGAAGACCAAGCTACCAGGAGCCTGCAGAGAGAGCCAGTTCACTCTTGCCTACACTCAGGACACAGGACAGTGGACAGAGAGCAGAGGAACAAAGGCCAGAGAGTATTGGATTTGCTTGCACCCACTGAAAGGGAATCCTGGTTGCCTACCCACCAGGAGAGGAAGAGGATCTTACTACCCCCAATGGAAGAAGTGATGGTAAAGAGGCAATATAAGAACACACTCAGCAACAGAAAAACAAATAGGCACCACTAGCATCTAGACATCAGCAAGACCGGAACAACCCAGTGCAGATGAAGCAGAAGGGAATGACCTTAAAATACCTTAATGAAAATGATATAGGCCCTCAAAGAGGATATAAGAAAAATTCCTTAAAGAAATGGAAGGAAAAAAACAAAAAAAATCCAACAAATGCAAGAAAGGGAGGAAAACAGGAAGCAAAAATTACAAGAAACAATTCAAACAGTGAAAGGGTTGAGAGCTGACATGGAGACAATTTAAAAAACACAGTCTGAAGGAATACTGGAAATAGAAAAACTGGGGAAACAGTCAGGTACTACAGATGAGAGCATAACCAACAGAATACAAGAGAAGGAAGAGACAATCTCAGGTGTTGAAGACACACTAGGAGAAATAGATTCATCAACCAAAGAAAGTCTTAAGTCTAACAAATCCCTAACACAAAACATCCAAGAAATATGGGACACTGTGAAAAGACCAAATCTAAGAGTAATAGGTACAGAAGAAGGTGAAGAAACCCAACTCAAAGGGTCAGGAAACATATTCAACAAAATCATAGAAGAAAACTTTCCCAACCTAAAGAAAGACATGCCAATGAAGGCACAAGAAGCTTACAAAACAACAAATAGAGTGGACCACAAAAAAGTCCCCTCGCCACATAATAATCAAAACCCAAAGCATACAGAATAAAGAAAGAATACTTAGAGCAGCTAAGAAAAAAAGCCAAATAACATATAAAGGCAAACCTATCAGAACT